CTTGAACTTGATGTATAATTTTACAATGTAACTCCAATAATATTGTATATAAAATTGTATGAGCTCGATACTTATTTTTTATTTGAAATGAAATCCTTTAGAGGAAACTAAGTTGATTATATATATTTGAGGTATGCTTTGATATATTTCCCCCATGCTCTTGGAGGCTTTTAGCTTGCTATGATTTTTGCATGCATATACCTTTTGAGACTTTTTAGCTTACTAAGGTATTTGAATAAGTGATAACCCTATCAATCACTTATTTTTATGGATTTCTTTTAGGGAGGACTTTTTCCCATTACTAACTTTCATTTGAAGCTACTATATAGGTGAGCTTTTTGGGAATATTTGTTAGAGCATTGCTTGATGATGTTTAGAGAAATCCATTAGGATTATTTGACATATCCAAAGGTTATATGTTAGAGTATTGCTCAATGATGTTAACCTAAATGAAAGAGGTCAAGAGAATCCACTAAGGATGTATGATTTATCTGAGGTTATATGTCAGAGCACTACTCGATGATATTAGAATATATAGAAGAGGTCAAAAGAATCCCCCAAGGATATATGACCTATCTGAGGTTGCATATCAGAGCACTACTCGAAGACATTAACATATATGGAAGAGTTCGAGAGAATCCACCAACAATGTATAACCTATTTGAGATTGTATGTCAGAGTACTACTCAATGAGGTTAACTTATATGAATGAGGCTGAGAGAATCCACCAAAGATGTATTACCTATATGAGGTTGTATGTTAAAGCACCGCTCGATGAAATTAACCTATGTAGAAGAAGTCAAGAGAATCTGCTAAGGATGTAAGACCTATCTGAGGTTATATGTTAGAGCCCAACTTGATGATGTTAACCTATATGAAAGAGATAAAGAGACTCCACCAAAGATGTATGACCAATCAGAGATTATATGTCAGAGCTCTACTCGATGATATTAACCTATATGGAAGAGGTCAAAATAATTCACTAAGGATGTATGACCTATCCGAGGTTGTATGTCAGAGGCTTGCTTGATGATGTTAACATATATGTAAGAGGTAGAGAGAATGTACCAAGGATGTATGACCTATTTGAGATTGTATGTCAGAGCGTTGCTCAATGTATTAACATATATGAAAGAGATCAGATTAAATCTCCTTGGGATTGATTATCCAATGATTGCGATATAATAAAGATTACATATTTCTTGAATCAAGGACTTTATGATTTGATTGACATCCTTCTAGGATGTTTGATCTATCCAAAATTGTATGTCAAAGTATTGTTTGTTGATCTTAATCTATATGGAACAGGTCAAGAGAATCTATAAAGAATGTATAACTTATTCGAGGTTGTATATAAGAGCCATGCTCAATGATGTTAACCTATATAGAAGAGGTTGAGAGAATACACTAAGGATGTATGACCTATCTGAGATTATATGTCGGCCTCATTCGATGATATTAATCTATATGGAAGAGATCGAGAGAATCCACCAAGGATGTATGACTTATCTGAGGTTATATGTTAGAGTCATGCTCGATTATATTAACATATATGGAAGAGGTCGAGAGAATCCACCAAGGATGTTTGACGTATCCGAGGTTATATGTTAGAGTGCTGCTTAATGAGGTTAACATGTATGAAAGAGATCAAAAGAATTCACCAAGGATGTATGACTTTATCCGAGGTTGTTTGTCTGAGCGTTGCTCGTTGACATTAACTTGTGTGGAAGAGGTCGAAAGAATTCACTAAGTATGTATGACCTATCCGAGGTTATTTTTCTGAGCGTTACTCGACGACATTAACCTATATGAAAGAGGTCGAGAGAATCCATCAAAGATGTATGACTATTCAAGGTTGTATGTTAGAGCATTGCTCGATGATATTGATCTATGTGAAAGAGGTTGAATCAAATCCCCTTGGGATTGATTTTACCTTGATTGGAAGGGGATGAACACTACGTGTATCCTAAATCAAAGGTGAAGAAATGTTTATCTTTAGACCGTTACTGTTTTTTTGTGGTCTAGATTAAGACCTTGTCCAATGAATAAAAGTGCAGATATGGGTTGTATAATGCTTGAAATTTATTAGAAGCATTGTTTCATTTGTTAGAAGCTTTATGATCTTAAGACATTGTCTTGAATATTAGAAGAGTTGGAGGAATCTTCTTAACTACAATTATAGTCAAGATTGCCCTCCAGTCCGCATTTAACTTCCATGAAATCGATACAACAATTGTAATGCCAAGATGTTGACATGAATGACTTTTGAGTCTAAAGGTACAATTACCCCTCAATCGGGAATCACTTTCCGACATACGATGTCAAATTGTTGCATCCTAGAGTATTCATGGTAGTAATGAAATATAAAGTTTAACATATTAACTTTATATGAAGATCTAACACGCAATTAAATAAAAAGAGAGGGTACAAAATTCATAAGAGACACTAAAATTTTTACGTGGAAAACCTTGAAAAGGGAAAAAACCACGGGGTCTGGTCTAGTTTGAATGAATTCAATATTATTTACAGTCGAGTATAAATAAGGCCCTTCCTTGGGGGAAGGCCTTAGCTTGATGTAATAAATATACCTCATATAGAGTGAGTTACATGATGGGACTTAAAAGAATCACTATTGATACATCTATTTGATTCGTAGAACTATAGTCAGCGGGTGACTACGGTCTCTAGTGACGGTGGTTGGAGGGACTGTAGTAGGTGGGCGACGAAGGTGAGAAGGGTCGTAGCCGACGGGCGACAGCATTCAGAAAGATCGTTGTCTAGCGACAAATGTCGGAAGGACTGTAGTTGGTAGGCGATAGTTATTAGGAAGACTGTTGTTTGGTGAAGGATATCGGAAGGATCGTTGTTGGCTAGCAACTGAGGTTGAAAGTTGGCTGATGGGCAGAAGTTCAACGTCGGGTAGAAGTTGGACGAAAGTTCAGTGACAGGTAGAAGTCCATTCGACGGGCAGAAGTCTGATGTCTTGTAAAAATTTGGCGATGGGCAGAAGTCTGATGTCGGGTAAAAATTTGACGACGGGCGGAAGTTTAGCAACATACAGAAATTGATGACTGGAAGAAGACCAACATTAGGTAGAAATTCAGTGACGGGCGGAAGTTTGGCGTAAGGTAGAAGTCCAACAAAAGTCTGGTGACGGGAAAAAGTCCGACATGAGTTAGCGTTCGGGCAGAACTCCGGTGTCGATAGGCTACCAGGTAGAAGTCCAGCGGTGGTCGAGGAAGAGTCTGGTGGCAAGGGAGCTCTCTTTCTTCTCTTCATTGTCTTCTTGCTTAGACATCCTTCTTCGCAACCCCCTTCCCCTCCTCTTGGGGGGTCCCTCTCTATGAGAAATGAGGGATATATTTATAGTTTTCTTAGAGTGACATGACCATTAAATAGGAGGAATATCAAGGGTAATTTGGGAGTGGTTTGAATGGACGACTGATGTTGAATACATTGATCATGGACTGTTTACTAGACATTTGAATGTCTTAATGATATCAAAATTTGACGATCTTAGACTTGTTGTACTTGTCTCTTTGAGCCGCTTGATTCGACTATAAGAATGTCATGTTTTGAAACCGTTTGATAATCCAAATTATGGTTTGGCCCTTCCAAATATGCTTTGAGTCTTTGATTTGGACTCATATGGGCTCAGATTGAGTCGAATTTGATGTCATTAGGTTCGTATCTCTAAGATGTTCAGTTATGCTGTAAGTTTGCTGAAATCAGAGTTCATATAGTCTCCAAATTAAATTTTAAAGTTTCCTACTTGATTTTCCATTGAGATTCATGCCCGATCAAGATAGTTTTTTTTATGATATATCAAGACTTTACAGGAAAAGGTAGAAGATGAAAAGATTGAGATATCAATACATCAATACCATGCACTTAAGATAATTTTCATGATAAATTACATCTTATTTAAAATTTTTTATAATCAATGCTAAATTCAAATGATTTAAAGATTGACACCAAAATTTATGAGAGGATGTTGAAGGCTTGGAGAAGTGAAATTTTGTAATATTATTTTATGATTTATTTTATGTATTTTTTATTCTTTTTAAATTTAGGCAATCATTCTAATGTTCTTTTTGTCAATTGCAAGTTTTCAAAGATGAAGAAAGCATGAAGAATTAATTTTTCTTAGTTAATTTTGTAATGTTCTAATTTCATATATGTAAATTGAACTTTGTGAGGAATATTTGTAGTTGTATTGTTGTGTTTGTAGTTGTATTTTATATTGGTATCAAAGTCATATTAAATTTATACTATTGTTAAATTTCTACTATATGCATAGTGAATGTTGCCCTTGATGTTCAGTCATAGGCTTGTTTGTAGATTATGATGGATGCATCCGATCACAATGTTTGATTTGATTTTTATTTTTATGATTCTTACATCAATTAGTAACTGGCGATCTTTATTATTGTCAAGCATATTTTATTAAAGAATTTATACTTTCATGTCCTCTTAATAAAGTAATGTGATTTGGTTTGTATATACAATGTTCTTTGACATTAAATATGTTCATTTTTTATGAAAGAAGAATAACTAAGAATATTATTGGTGTATTTTGCATTTTCTTATAATGAAAATTTTATAAAGAAGCCTTCAATTTAAACCTGTAGTCGACACAACTCTCCTTGGCCTATTGGTTGAAAGCTTAGGCTTCCAACTAAGAGGTCTAAGGTTTGAGTCCATGTGCATGCGTTGTGTGTGTGAGTTTGCCTTAAATGGCCTAAATGTCCCAAAAAAAAAAAAAAAAAAAAAAAAAAACCTGTAGTCGAGCCTTTACTCGAGCTGAGCTCGAATTGGTTTTTCGAGCTCGAGCTAACTAGCCCAATTTGAGGCTGGGATTCAGACACATAAGTAGAGTTCGAACTCGAGTTCTTGATTCGAGTAGAGCTCAAGCTCAACTTTAAGCCATCTAAAAAATTCTCGAGCCGACTCGAACCGGCTATGGCTCGTGCTCAACTAGAGGCCTTTGCACCCCTAAACTTATCCATCGTGCGCACAAACCCTATCAAAAATGGCATGAAGCCCAAACCCTCCTAAAACCCCCGAACTCTCCACGCAGATGAAAATCGCCGCTATTTTCCGTTCTTCTCCTGCCTCCTTTCCTTGCGTCTTCGCAAAGCTAAGGCTAAAGAGCTTGCCTTTCTCTACAAATCAATGCCTTCTCTTTCATTATCGGGAATATTCCGGCGGTAGGACTTTCTCAGCTCGACCGGCGAGGTCGGGTATCCGCGACATCCAGCGTGGAAAACTCAGAACCGGGAGCGTCTCAGGGCAGGGCAAGAGCCTCATCGAGGACGAGGCGGAGCTCAGCGATTGGATCAGCGACCTCAAGGCAGACTCTTTTCGTACCAGGCATAGCAGCGAGGACGAAGGTTCGGGTCGTTATCGAGGTAGACAGGACAGTAAGGATATGGGTAGAAATTGGTTAGCGAGTAAAGAACGGGGGAGGGATTCTCGGTCTGCGGCTTATGGAAGGCCGTCTTCGAGGAGGAATAGGGGTAGTGATTCCGATGGGGATTCAGCTCGTAGTCAGAGGGGTTCATCCTTGAGAAGGCGACTTGATAGTGACGATAATGTAGATGATTTCCGTAGCAGGGTGGGAAATGAGCGGGGAAGTCGACCGGCAGTTTCTTCGGATTCCAGGAAAGGTCTTGGTGATCGGCATGGGGCTTCTTCTGCTTTCAATAAGAGAGGCAGGGGGGATTATGAAATTGGCGGTAGGGTAAGCCAACGGAAGAAAAGTCAAGTTCTTGTTGTATCCGAGGAGGAGGAGGAGGATGAGGAAGAGGAGGAAAGTGATGATATTTTGCCTGATTTTGATAATGATTTCTTCGGTGACAAGGAAGATAGGAAGGATAGGGTTGCAAAAGGTCCTATTGAGAAAGGCAGTTCTCGTTTGTCCAATGATAGTAATATTCTAAAAGCAGTACCGCAAACTTCTGTGCCCGCTAGTGATTCTTACTTAAGTGAGGCGAGGTATGCTTGTCCTCTAAATTTGATGTTTCAAAGCTAAGTAGCTGATAATATGATGTACTGATTGCTTTGTTTTCTAAGTACCTTCAAGCTAAGATTAGTAAGGTTGTTAGGAGCCGACTGTTTTGATTGAACATTCACAGCAAAAAATTCTAAAATGTTGTTAGCTTTTAGTTAAATTGATTTAAACATTTTTAGATGCCACATAATTTTGATATGAAAGTAAGGGCTGATTGATTGTTGTGGGAATTGGGATGAATGACTAAGCCTAACTTTTCAATGCATCTTATGGTTGCTTAAATTTTTTCTATTGAAATGATCAAACATAAACATTTAGTATGCCCTGTAGGAACGTTTCCATCAATACGGTCTACCTTATGCATACTTTTTTGAGATGATTATTTTTCATTTGTCAATATACATTAGAAGAAGCATTAATGCATTCATTATGATCAGTTGAACTTCTAAATTTTTTCCTTGTGAAGTTGAACAAATCCTTATGGAGATATGAAGATAGTGCAAGTGATTTGCCTTATCCTGATTTGCCTTATCCCAACTATTTGAGTCACCCTGCAATTCCTTCTTTGTATTTATATCTGAAGATATCACATAGAAGATGCTGATTATGTTCTAATTTTGAATTTTTTTAAATGCCTTGAGCAAATTCCAATCATTGCTGTTAATACTACTAGTTTAACGCATGTGTAGCAATGCAAGTCTTGCATTAGTTCTAGATCCTTATCTTATTGAGGCTTCTCTTTACTCCATTATATAGCAATGCATGTGCAAATCATCTCAACACATTTCTCACTGCCTTACCTCGAATAGTTTTATGTTTTCAAACTACATATTGTACAATTATTATTTGTTATTCTCTTTAGTTATCCCACATTTTCAGCTATACTTATTTCGTTATCCTTAACTTTTTTTTTTTTGGCAAAAATCGCATTTTAATTAATGAAATTAATTTAATTATGAAGATAAATGAGAAGATGAAAACAATATGGATAGAAGTTGTGTAAACATATTTGTAAAAAAATTATTTAACCCTTCGGAAAAATACATAAATGAATGGAAAATGATGATTGATAGCGCTGAGCTCAAATGGTTCGGATATGGCTACCCCTAATGCTTTCTGTAATGTATATTATGTATAGCACTATTAAAAAAACACTTGTTATTGTGCTTGGAGAAAAGTAACATTTGATCAAGCTTTTGATATTACTAAATCCTCTCCCTTCATGTAGCATCCTAAAAAGAAGCTCAAAGGGAATAATGCACTAGATTCATAGTTTATTATAATGCATGAACACTTGAAGGGAAAAACTTTGTTCTTTAAAAACCAAAACATTTGAAGAAGCATTAGCAAAAGCAAAGCAAAATGCAGATGGAAATATAGATAACGTTGGATATTCTTGAGAGGATCAATACTTCTTTTCCTTTTGTATAATCAATTGAATCTGTACAAAAATCTAATAAACACTCACAACGAGTAATTAAATTTGAATTGGATTTGATCATAATCAAAATTCCCAATTACAAGCAAAATTTTGGCCTTCTAGTTTAAATTCTAACTAAGAAATAATCAAAACTTTGCACTCAACTTTAAATCATAAAAAAAATATTTAACAAGTAAATATGTGTGCTTTTTAAAATAAGCATGCCTATTATGTCAAATAATGAATACATTTGTGTTATCTCGACTTTACATTTCATATTTAGCTCAAGCATACATAACTAGTAGATTCATTGTGTTATGTATCTTTAAAGTACTTTTAAATGTAATAACTTCATTAAGAATATTTATGGAACCCATAACTTTATAATTACAAAGTTTATTATAAATATTTGCATTGAAAATTATTTTTAAATTTTTTAGGTTGTTTAAACCTTTTAAATGTGAAAAAAAGATAAAAATTAAGAAACTTTGTCTTAAAAATTGGTTTGGATGTAAAAGCTTAAAAAATTGAAAAATTTATAGAAGGGCCTGTAGGGACTTTGAGAATACAATATGGGATGTTAAGAATTCAACTTTTAATGATTTATATAATATATTATATACTAAGAAGAGTGAAAGATGTATGTATAAGTTAGCCAAGTAAAAAATAGAAAAAATAAAAATTTAGTTCGAGTGAAGTGCATTAAGGATGAAGATCTAAAAGTGTTTTTCTGAGAAGAGGATATTTAATCTAGGTTGATGAAATATTTTGAAAAAATTTTCAATGAAGTTTGTGAGAATACAATTGAAAATAGAGATTTTTGTTTTAGCATCATATTAGTTAAACAGAAGTTGGAGAGATTTTAAAGAAAATGAAGTGTGGAAAAATAGTAGGACCTGATGATATTTTAATGGAAGTGTTGAAATGCTTAGCAAAATAAAGGAAAATTGTGGCTTACTAAAATTTTTAATATTATTTTGAAAACCTAAAAGATGCTAAATGAGTGGAATACTGTGTTGATTCCTATTTTTAAAAATAAATGTCATGCACAAAAGTGTGTGAATTATAGAGGAATTAAGTTAATATATCATACATTAAAATTATAGGAGAGAGAGTAGTTGAGCATAAGTTACAATGTAATACTAATGTTTTTCAAAATCAATTTGAATTCATGTCGGGTAAGCTACTATGGAAGCTATACATTTTTTGAGAGGTTTGATGGAGAAGTATGGGGAGAATAAGGAGGATCTACATATGATATTTATTGATTTAGAAAAAGTATATGATAACATTCCAAAAGAAATGCTCTAGAGAGTTCTAGGAAAAAAAAGAGTTAATAATGCTAATATTTAAGTCTTTAAGGATATGTCTATAGGAGCTGTTACTTGTATTCAAACACAAGGTTGTTTGACCAAGTACTTTCCTATTTTAGTTGGATTACATGAAGGATCAGCTTCAAGCCCATATCTGTTTGCTTTAGTCATGGATGTTCTTACTAAACATTTGCAAGAGGCTGTACCTTACTGTATGCCTTTTATTGATGATATTCTTCTTGTAGATAAGATTAGAGAGAGAATTGATAAAAAACTTGAATTATGAATGTCAACCTTCGAGTCTCAAGGTTTCATTTGCGTAGATCTAAAACCGAATATATGGTATGTAATTTTAGTAGAAATAGATCTAGTGGCAGGATTGTGACATTGAGTGATCAAATCATTAAAAAGAGTGCACATTTTAGGCATTCCTAGTATATTGTTAAAAGCGATGGTGAAATAGATGGGGATATTATTCGTAGAATTCAAGTTGGATGGTTGAAGGGGAGGAAAGCATTGGGCCTATCATGTGATATAAAAGCACCCCTCAAACTTAAGGGAAAATAAGTGGCTTTACACTTAGAGATAGAATGCTAAACTATATATATGTGAAATAGTTAGAGTAGCTCCAGTGTCATATAAGATTAGAGAGTCACCTTAGATGGTTTGGTCACAAAGTATCAACCTTTTAATGGCCCTATTAGTAGAGTAGATGTATTAGATCTGTCCTATGCTAAAAAAGGTAGAGGTATACCTAAAAAGACTTGGTCAGAAAGCATTAAAAATAACTTTATTTTAATATATTTAAATGAGAATTTAACTCTTAATAAGACACAATAGAGAAAAAAGAATTCATGTAGCTGACCCCACGTAATGGTATAAAGGCTTGTTATTGTTGTTGTTGTAGGTTGTTTAAAACTCTTTCTTGTTTGATATTTTTGTCAAAAGAGCAATAGTTTTAAGACTTTGCAAATATGAATAATAATTTGGCCTATTTAACAACTACGAACAACTAATCCTTGCTTGCATGCTAGATTTTTCTGTATTAGTAGTAGAGTTTCTTATACAGTCGTGGTATTATTACCTGCGCAATATTTAGTTTATATATCAATGTTTCATAAAAAACTCTAATATTTATACTAGTATTTTAAGAAATATAGGCATATTTGATAGGGTTTCATGAAACCTTAGCATTTTAATTTAGGGTATGTATTCCTTTTTGCAAAATAGGGTAAACTATTATTTTGTCTGGAAAATTTAAAACTATTGTCTTTATTAATAAAAAAATCAAATTATGTGTAGGTTTATACTTTATACAAATAAACCTATTTTTTTATTCATTTGAATGTGACATTTTCTTATAAATGCATACAATAGCTAATACATCCAAGATATTTTAACCTACTACACTTGAGGTCTAGGGTGTACGACACATGCATTTAGATATGACTTATTTTTATGAATAAATTCCTATCATTTTATATTCTCTAAAATTGCCTTCTGTAAATATGGTGATGGACCAATTGATTTGATTGCGAGGGAATTATGAAGTTTCCTAATCAAGAGGGAATTGTTTAGGAAGGTTCTTAATCAAAGGGGATTAATTAGGAGATGTTTTCTTATTGATGATGGGCAAATTTGGGAGGGGATTTGGGGGCTGATTTGGAGGAGATTAATTAGGAAATGTTTCCTAATTGAAGAGGGGAGATTTGGGGGCTGATTTGGGGACTGATTTAGAAAGGATTAATTATGAAATATTTTCTAATTGAAGAGGGCAGATTTGGGGGCAGTTCTGAGGGTTGATTTGGGAGGGAAATAATTAAGGAAATATGACAGATTTGGGGGTGGGTTGTTTAGGTATTTGTTGTTTATTGTTTGCTTTAAGTAGTTGATTTACCCTAAGGTTAGGGTTATGTTTTTTTATGCAAAATTTTGTGAGGTTTTACTATCTACTATTTTTTTGAGGGATTCTAGCAGCGTTTAGGATTTGGGAGGGAAGACCCTCGTCTCGAAAGAGAACCATTGTATCTTGTTTGTTTGTGTTTCTTTTTCTTATCAATAAAATCTGTGGGTTTGCTGAATTTTACTCTTTGTTCTCTTACTTTGGTGCTCAAGTCCTATCATTTGGATATTGAAAATTTTATTTTAATCCTATTATCTTCTAAAATTTTCATTATTGCTCTTAACTTTTATTTAGTTTAAATTTATATAGCTTAGTAAAACCGTGCCATTTGCAAACATCAAACATCATGGTATTATACCCTACACAGGAAATACATTTATAAAGGGATAATCCTTAATGTTGATTCCTGTCCTATGGTTAGTATAATTGTAATTTTTCTTCTTCTCTGTGTCTACTTTTTATAATGGCAGTGTATTTATCATGAATGTCTTTAATGATTTGAAAATACCCTTTTCATTCTTTATTTCTTTTAAATGCCCTCCTTTAATGGTTTGAAAATACTCCTTTTTGAATTTTTCAACAACAACGGATGACTTTTTTTTTTTTTATATAGTTTGCATTTCCACAAGCGCCCTTAAGATTGAGGAAAGGCCTTGAATACTAAGATTCACTTTATATAACAAATAATATCTCCTTCTTGAAGTAATTTTCCACACCTTCATCCTATATGATTTGTAAGTTTGATTCCTACTACTTAAGCTTTGGATATCCCCTTAAAAATTCTTATTAAGTTTAAGAAACTTTATTGTTGAATCATTCACCATCATCATAATTTTTAACATTTAATGAATTGTATTACTTTATTATGTGACTTGAATATGTTGCGTGACATTTTAAACCTTAATCAGTCTTTTGCCCAGTCTTAATGCACATGATCAGGTGTTGGCTTAGGTGATATTGTGCATTTACTCCCAACCATTATTGAGCGGTTCTGGAAAGACCTACAATTATGTTTGAGGACTCTTTCATTTCTTCGTTTTTAGGCCTTCTTAAGACTTTTAAATAGCATATCTTCTTGACATCTTCATCCTCAAATAAATCTGTTGTTTGCCTCCACATTTAGTACATATATACTCTATTTTCTTTGCCATGTTGCATCTCTTTTTCTACTGCAGATCCAATCTACAATATGAGTCATCAAAAGCTCAATGGTCATGCTTTCCTAGCTAGTTTTGAGTTGGCCTCAATTCTTTTGAACTTTAAGCAAAATAATTGGTGTACCTGGTTCTATAAATTTTCAGTTTCTTTTGGACTTTTGAATTTTCTCACATGATATTTTGTAAGTTTGCATACTCTTAAGGTTTATCTTGTAGTTCTCATTTATCTTTAAAATGTGCACTTTTTTTCTTACACAGATTTGATCAATTTTCCCTTTCTCCACTGTCGCTGAAAGGAATAAAAGCCGTTGGTTATGAAAGGATGACTGTAGTGCAGGAAGCAACTCTTCCAGTAATACTCAAAGGTTACATGTTCTTATAAAATCACTATATTTTTACAGTTTCTTCTCCAGCTGAGCTTTAGTTTGTTAATATTAGAGAGATGATCGAATAAAGATCTATACCAATACCAAGTCAAACTTTGTTTTTTTCGTATTTGAGTTGACAGTGACGCATGCTTATGCTTTGTAGATTCTTAAGTTTTGCTAAATTAGTATTGTTAGTGCCCTAAAATATTTGTGAATTACCATACATTGTTAAATCATAATTAAGTCCAATTATGCTAGGATATGTGATGCAAGCCTTTGTTGCAGCTCAATCTCGGATATTAGGTTTTGCAGATCTAATATAATGAGATGATAAGCAATGCAAATTTTCTAAGGAAAAATATGTAATGCCAATGAAATCTAAAATGAAGATATGCAAAAGATCTAATGCAAAGAAAATACAAAATAACTTGTAATGTTTCATAAAGGAAGCCAGTTGATGATACAAAGCAATTATTTGTTACCTTAGATTTTCCATGGAAAACAATGTAAACTAAAATCCATATCAATCCATCGCAGCTCCTAACAAAATTAATCATCAAGTTTTCAGATATTATGCAAGGATAAAAAAAATAGATATATGGCTGAAATAAGTATCTAATCACTCTTTCACTTTGTAAAGTGGAAAGAAAAGTGGTAAAGAACCAGATAATCAAGTCTCACTCTTGAATAATAACAGCAAATTTTGTAAAAGAATTGGGAGGGATTTAACTCTTCACATACAAGAAAAAGTACTATTCCTTAAAAGCCAAACGTATCCACTTTCTGATACAGATATAAAAAGACGGTGTAGTAGAAATATCATAAGAATCACCAAATGCTCAAAAGTATAAATTGTTAGACGAAAGTTATTCAGAAAATCACCTAAATTTGGAAAGCTGTCAAATAGCATAGTGCTTAAAGTTTAAACTAGAATAATTAAGGCCAGACCAAGGATTGCTTTCTCAGAATGAAACTTAATCAGCTTATCTATGAAATCTTTTTTTAGTGTATGATAAGATTAAAATAGAATTTTTTTTAATATTTGAAGATTGGCGTATGTTATTTGGATGTACACTCGTACATTGTACTTATGCATCTGTTATAAGTTGGATGGATCTCTCATGAATAAGACACATTAAAATATTCTTCTCCTTTAACATAGTATGATAACGAGGTTAATACCTAGCATCCTTTGCCCCCTTTACTCCCAAACTCAACAACAATCCTAGTTGACCTTTTTGCGCCCACACATACGTGCAATGTTCATCATGTGTCTTCCCTTATTCCTTATCATGTGGACCACATTCAGGCTTTCTCTTTTATATATATATACAGAGAGAGAGAGAGAGAGTTATTATTATACTTTATATATTTTATTTTTATGCTTCTTAAATTTTTTATATTTTAGTTATTATTATTTCCTCGATTTTCTATTTTTAGAATTTATTTTAATTTGATTTTTATTTTTTAGGCAACTAATTTTGGGTTACTTTTAATTCTTATTAAAATGTCAATTTTTGATGAGTTTTATTTTCAGTTGATTTTTATTAATTTAGATTTTTTTTGCTAAGTTTAATTTTATATCAAAATTTTAAGTTTATTTATTTAATTTAAGTTTATGTTTTGTATTTAACTTTAGATTTGGTTTTTATCATAGTTTTTTATTTTAGTAGTAATAATAATGCTTTCAAAATTGCCTAAACAACTTTTGATTTTGGGTCAATTCAATTGTTTGGAGCATTATGATAATCTGGATATGATGTAGTCTGTTTTGCAAAATGGTGCCCACAAAAAAAAATTATGTGGGTGAAAGTTTCATGCATGATATGTTCACATGCGTTATTTCTTGTAAAAAAGTAGTCATTTGTCACTCTTTTTATTGCATGTACCGTCATATATGATGATTGGTGCAACACAACTTGTAGAATCTGATATTGAGGTCAACGACGATGTTAGAAGTTATTTAGGTAGGCGACTTATAGTTCTCACAGCTGATTAGAATCCAAAGGATTCATATTGAGTTTACACCTTTCAAGGTTTATTAGACCAAGCTAAATGCTCCTGGTGTGTGCTCGGGCTGAGATGACTCAAGGTGCATCTAGTGTGCATGGCTTGATTAGGCTTATATAATATCTAAATTAATGGGAAGTTTCTTGGGTCACCTGTTAGATAGAGTGCGGCTCCCATACTATGTCCAGTTTATGTGGTAGATCTTATTAAGTCAATATTCAACAAATATTCTAAGAAGGATTGACCAAGCTATATTCTAGTGTCGCATGCTAGATTTGAATAAGCTAAGTCATTTGAATTAACCACATTATGTGTATATAATACCTAAGTGGGTAATCCAGGCGAAGACATGACTGAGTTTGACTAGATTATGAATATGCAAATATTAGGTTCTGGTTTACACAGCTCACCTTGGCCTGTTAGTAGAGAGCTTATGCTTCCAACTAAGAGGTCTTGGGCATGGTTTAAAATTGCGCAATATGAGGCTCGCCTTTGCACAATTTCAGTAAAAAACGCCTCGATGCTAACGCCTCGAGTTTTTTTTATGAGGCTTGCACCTCAACTTGGTTGAGGCCTGTCTTGAGGCCCGCCTCGCCTCACTGGCATGAGGCTTACGCCTCACGCTATATATATTAAAACTTACATAAATCTTGAAGTAAATGCCTGAAATTGGACTCTATAGGAGAGAAGAAAAGGGAGAGAGCAGTTCACCATAATGATGATTCAAATGAAGAACCCCTTAGTGATAACAATGCTGATGACTTATTAGTTCTTATGTGATATGTCATTACTATTTATTTTTGGAAATTTGAATTATATATTAACGAAATTAATACTGGGATTTGGGTTTTGAGTTAAACTATATTTCATGTTATTTTATTATTGAGATATTTTGATTTTACTTCATATCTTATGCTTTTTTATGTTTTATATTATTCACTTATTAGTATATAAAAAATTTATCATTTTATGTTTACGCAATCTTTTAATTTTGAGGCTTACGCCTCGCCTCATGAATGAAAAACGCCTCAATACCTGAATACGCAATTTTAAACATTGGTCTTGGGTTCGAGTCTTTGTGTATGCGTTGTGTGTGTGAGTTTGCCTTAAATGTCCTAAATGTCCCAAAAAAAAAAAAAGGTTCTGGTTTTGATTCTATTAAAAAATGCCACATTAGGTGAACCAAAGTATGATATGATAGGATCAGAAAGACTTATTCTAAACAATTCTAGTGAAGATAATGAGATTGAATATGTATAACCTAAGTGTATAACCTAAGTGTATAAAGGGTGCACCCAACAACAATTTCAAGATGGTATAAAGTTTGCTTTCTTGCCAAATGGTTCGTACAAGTCTATGACATAGACTATTTTAATTGCATCCCTTTTGCCAGGTTTAACTTCATCAATATTTTGCTATTTGTGGCAATAAATCATGGATGATCAATGCTAAAAATGAATGTGAGCAATATCTTCATTTATGGAAACATAATGAGGTAGTTTATATGTAATAACCTCTTGATCATGTTGCTTAGGGTGAGCTACATATCTATTCAAGAAGGCCATATATATGTGCCTAATAAAGCCCACAAGCTTGGTTTGAATATTTCAGCAAAGTTCTTACCTAGATTGAACTTTGTAGTAACATTGCAAATCATTTGGTTTTCTTCAGGCATACACCATCAAGCTTAGTCGTATTAGCTGTTTAAGTTGATCACATCCTAGGCATCGGGATGGGTGAAAAAGGTATATCCAAGGTAAAACTTAATTAATCAAAATATTAGGAGCTGATGATTCGACATGACCAAATTACATCTTGGAGCTAGCTTTGCCTACAATAAAAAATGCAAGTCCCTCTTATTGGAAATATGCTATTGATCTTCTTGAAGAGACTCATCTTTTAGATTGCACATTTGCTTATACCTTGTGGAGACTTAGACTATTTCTAATAATAAGAAGACCCTTGATGTTCTGTTCCTATTGAAAGTTAGATAGGAAATTGTCTAATTTGATTTCCATGAGGCATGATTCCATTAGAGTGAGTTAGCACATGCAAACTTCAAAACAAAAGCATTCTGTTGTTTTGCACATTCAGGTATATCAAAAAGGTCTATTAGAATTGATTTACTATATATGAAGGGGCTACTTAATTTGATTAAAAGGAATGCAGAGTAAAATGAATACAATATAAAGTAAAAACAATATATTAAAAATTTCTTTTGAGTTGTTTGATTAAGAACACTACAAATTCAGGAGTGTTTTTTTTTTGTTTGGTTGATGTAATTGAATGCAAAGTAAAATAATAATGCATTTGGAACATAGTTGATTGGTGGTGGCTAACGGCAGGTGGTGGCGGATGACGTCAGCTTGGTGGCCGACAACATCTGCATTTAAATCTGTAGTCGACGGAAGGTGGTGTTGGTCAGTGGTTGACAAAAGGTAGTGGTGGTTGCAGATGAGTGGCAATCAACATTAGCGATGGGCGTAGCGAGCATCGAACGCCTTTTTTTTAGGAGCCATGTTTTTGAAATCCACTCAAAATGGGTGAATTCCAAGTACACTCAAAATGAACTAGAGGGTGAATTTCAAATTTACTCCCAAAATACTTTACATTTGAAACACAATTGTATCATTACCCGAATTTTCAAAATTCATATGTTTTTTTTATTTCACATTGAAAATTCTACACCTAAGATTTAGCATTTGAATGTGAAAGTATTATCAAATGTTGATCATACTTGTCCAATTGAAAACACGAAAGCAACTTTTGGATTTTGTAGTTTTTGTCGGAGGTAACCTGTTACCTTATAAAATAAGAAATAAATTATTATGACCATATTTAATGCTGAGAATGAATACATGGTTGTGACACGTGGTTGAAGAATCTTTTATGAGAAGTTGGTTTCTAATTACCCAACTTATAGTTATGTATTGCGGTACTTGTGCTTCCATCTACATCGGTACTTGTGCTTCCATCTACATCACTAATAGCCTCGTGTTCCATGAAAGATCCAAACATATTGAGGTTCATTATCATGTCATTAGGATTTTGTGCTTCCAAGAAAATTGTCACTTGTGTCTTTTGGTTTAGAACAAGTGGTTGATATTTTTACAAAAGCTTTTGGTCCACCTCTCTCTCAATTGTGTAATAAATTGGAGCTAACTAATCGATGCTTCAAATTGAGGGAGAGTGTTTGTATATGATAATATTTAGATATAAAAGCTCATTAAATTTGTAGAGTAGAGTGGTGTCCATATTTTGGGCGTACTCTAGAATATTATGTTCATTCGCCTATTATAAATTTGGTGAATCTTTAGTGAATATGAAAACAAAGTTTTGTCAAAATTATCCAAGTATCATTTCATTTTGTTAGCCGCCCTTTAGCAAACATTTACTTTGCTTTTCAAAGTTTGTAAAAAGATGCAAAACTTCATTTTTAATAATATATCAACGTTATCAGTGCAATTTCATTATTTAGAGATGTGAAATAGCCCATTATCATTTTCGTCTGTATCTTGCCCTATAATGCACATACACGGGCACGATGACACGGATACGACACGACACAGGCACGGGACACATCAATTATTGAAAATATAGAACACAGACAGGGGTTGGACACGATATAATAATTTTTATATTTTAAAAATAATGTGTAAAAATTGAATAGGAATAATATTAAAAAGAATTTAGAAATAATAAGTAAAATATAATTTGTGCATAAAATAATTAATATTATGATGTTGAGAGTCGGGCGTATCAAAACATCAAAAGAGGAGAGGACTGTGCTGTTGAAATACAGCATCGATGTTATGCAGTAAGTATCAAGCGTTGTTGTCAAGAGGGCATCTGTCGTTGATGTTGAGAGGGTGTTGGTCATTAATGTTGACACGATGTCGGACAAAGATGAGCTATCAAGTTGTGGGTGTAGAAATTGCTAGTGTTGAGCAGTAATGTTAGGACAATGTCAGACTTTGATGTTGAGATGGTTTTAAAATATCGACGTTGTAACGACTTCAAACGTCAATGCTGAGATGACATCGGGCATTATTGTAAATCAAAGTCGCGACCCGCCAAAGAGGAATGAAAATGAGAATATTCGATGAATGAGGAATTGAGTGTGGACGATTGATTTAGTTTTGTGGACAGGTAATAAAAAATTTGCTTTACATTTAAAATAAATTAAAATTTTAAAAATAAGAAATTATATTAAAAAAAATTCAGAAAATATTTAGAACACGTGTGCCGTCATGCATGTCCAATTTGTATTTGATATTTTTTTGATTGGACATGTTTTTGGCGTGTTCAACATGAATCGGAGGCGTGCCAAACACGTGTCGTGTCGGATACATGTCCGATGATGTCGGACACTACACGCCTCTTTAAGGAGAAGTGTCAGTGCATCATAAATTCTTCCAAGTCTTTGATGAGCTATGAGGAAAAGATGATTACAAAATACCTGCATGTTTTTTTCATTCTTTATCTATTTATTACTGTATTTAGTGGCCCGACTTATGAAAGCATTATGGATTCTATAATACTCTTATTCTGTTATTTTATTTTAATTTTTTTGCTTGCATTTTAGGTAAAGATGTTCTTGCTAAAGCTAAGACAGGAACTGGCAAAACTGTAGCGTTTTTGGTAAAATCTTTATTCTTTTGTCTTGGAATGCAAACGGTCTATTTACTACCTTTTTTTTTTCTTTTGATGAGCTTGGTCTATCCACGATTAAATTTTGATTATTTGGTTGAAGCTGCCCGCAATTGAGGTAGTTGCGAAGCTACCTCCTCCTGATCGTGATAATAGAAGACCCCCTATCCATGTGCTTGTAATTTGCCCAACTAGGGAGCTTGCAGATCAAGCTGCTGCGGAAGCCTCAAAGCTGTTGAGGTACCATGCTTCTATTGGTGTTCAGGTTGTTATGGGTGGTACAAGGTTGGCACTAGAACAGAAACGCATGCAAGCTAATCCATGCCAGGTCAATACTGTTTTTTCTTGAAGATATAGATAAACAATTGTTTTTTTTTATTACTTCAATTTTGATTAACATTATATTGCAAGTTCAGATTCTTGTAGCAACACCTGGAAGGCTCAGAGATCATATGGAGAATACACCAGGATTTACTTCCAAACTATCTGGCGTGAAAGTTCTTGTTCTTGATGAAGCGGACAGATTGCTAGATATGGGATTTCGGAAAGATATTGAAAAGATTGTTGCAGAACTGCCAAAACAACGGCAAACGCTTCTTTTTTCTGCAACAGTTTCAGATGAGGTATTTTTCTCTCAGGCTAAAATTCATATATCTTCTTAAATATTGAATCCGTGTGTGCTAAACCTAGGTTCGTCAAATATGCTACATTGCTATGAAAAGAGATAATGAATTTATTAGCACGGTTGAAGAGGGCAGTGAGGAAACACACTCCCAGGTACCACTAACGTGAATAGTTTAGATATACTCCTCTTATATGATTCGAAGGAGTTCAATTGATGAACTAATGTTTCAAATTCTCTATTGTTTCAGGTTACCCAGATGCATTTAAGTGCACCATTAGACAAGCAGTTTTCAATACTCTATGGAATTCTGAGTGATCACATTGCTGAAGACGTTGACTACAAGGTAATGATTTCAGTACATACATCTTATGTTAATTTTGTGAGTCTTTGTTCTACACTCTTCATCTTAACTTTGTGATGCATGCAGGTTATAGTGTTCTGTACCACTGCAATGGTTACGAAGCTTGTTGCGGATCTTTTGGCTGAGTTGAATTTGAATGTTCGAGAAATGCATTCTAGAAAGCCGCAAACCTATAGAACCAGAGTCTCTAAGGAGTTCAAGGAGTCGAAAGGCCTTATCCTTGTCAGTTCTGATGTTTCTGCACGAGGAGTCGACTACCCTGATGTCTCTCTTGTTATACAGGTATTTGCATTCTGCTTACTCGTCTTTGCTTGTTTTAAGTCTATCTTCTTTTTAACTGTCAATTTTTTTTGGTTAAAATTTGAGTATTTTCATGTCATACTCGTAGATCATTATTGTTATCAATTAAGCTTTAGCTTCACTTTAACTATTTGACTTGGCTGTTGAATCATTTTTTCTTCGTTCACTTATTTGCTATGATGCACGGACACAGACACAGCGACACGGACACGACACGGACACGGGACACGGCTTTTTTTTAAAATATAGGACACGGGTACGACGCGGACACGGCAATACATTTTTTTATATAGTGTATATATATTAATGTAATATCATATTAAAAATGACAAACAATAATAAATGAATGACATGATAACTTGTCTAGCTTATAATATAAAATATTTAGTACAAAATATCTAATACAATCATAAAAATATAAGCAAATAATCACTTACTACAACATCAAACATTCAAGCTTCAACTACTAGGATTAGCTTTAGAAGTTTGTTTTTGACCTTCAATATCATCATCACTGAATATCACTGTTTTCAACTCTGGTTCAACAAGAGAACGATTTGTAATTGTACAAAAAGAGAGGAGATGAAAATACCTTCACTACCAAAGAGAAATGAAAATGTGAATATTCGTTGAATTAGTATTAAATGCAGACGTTGATTTGGTGTTTTGGATAGGAAATAAGAAATTTAATTTAAATCTCGCCAAACATAAGAAATTATATTTTAAAAATAATTATAAAATATTTAAGATACGCGTGTCGGACACGCGTGTCCAATTAGTTTTTAATATTTTTTTAATCGGACACATTTTTGGCGTGTCCGACATGTGTAGGACACTGCACGTCTCTTTGAGGAGAAGTGTCGGTGCATCATAGCTTATTTGTTACATTTTTTCACTTCATCCTTGCTGCTAGTTTATTCCATGCTTATGAAAAGCCTCTTTTCCATCTCCTAGAAACCAAAAAGGACGATCAACTTTGATTTAAGGACTTTTTTGTGGTTATACGATTCTTGTTGTCCTTGTTTTCTCTAGTTTGTTTTGTTATTTTTTTCTAGATAGAAATGCTTTTGTTTAAATGTGGCTTCATTTCTGTCTATTGACAAGTTGAATATGGCTTTCATTCTAATTCATGCAATGTAGCTGGGAGTGCCTGCTGATAGAGATCAATACATACATCGACTTGGTAGAACTGGCAGGAAAGGGAAAGGAGGAAAAGGCTTACTTCTCTTAGCACCATGGGAAGATTTCTTCTTAGATAACATACGAGACTTACCAATAGAAAAGGCTGAAGTTCCTCTTATTGATCCAGACACCAGAAAGAAAGTGAGTATTCCAACCTATCCTATGTTTCCTATGATATGGATTTATTTTTGGTTTTTATTTAATGTACTTGTATAAAAAAAAGAATTAAATTTGCATGAAGGCATATGATTTGGTGGTGAATCTGCATGTATCATGTTTTATATTCATTATATAAACATATGCAGTATAGTATCTTTACATTATGTTATCACAAAGAAATATATTTTGATATATTGTTTTTATTTTAAACTAGCAACTAATGTATTGTTGTTCGTTTTCATGTATATAATTTAAATTTATACTATGATAATATTGTAAATTTTTATTTTATTTGTTTGTATAGTTATATGAAATAATGTGTGCCCTCATGTGCCCAAAGTGAAATGGCTCAGTTCCCCCTTCAACTAAGCAATTTAAGCAGTCCTCTTTCCTCCTCAATTCTTACTCCTTATTTCTTCTTACATGCAATTAAACAAGCCCTAGATGCTTGTGGGTGGTCAAAAAGCCAAACTTTTCCCCAAAAAGGAATAAAAAAAAGAAGCTATTCAAAGAATAGGTTTCATACTTAACTGTGTTGTCAAGGCATACCACCAATGTTAATTGACATTCTTTTTGCATATTTATTTACACAACTTTGTCTTAATATCTTCTCGATCCCTCATTTCATTTCAAATATTATGGAACTATGATAATGGAGCCACTCATTTCTTTTGTTCTGAAAAGGTGGAGAGGGCCCTTGCTCATGTTGAGATGAAGAACAAGGAACGTGCATACCAAGCATGGCTTGGCTATTACAACTCCATAAAAAATGTTGCCCGAGAAAAATCTAAGCTTGTACTTCTTGCTAATGAGTTTAGCCGGAGCATGGGGCTTGACAATCCTCCAGCAATCCCCATAATTGTTCTGAGGAAGATGGGACTTAACAATGTTCCAGGGATTCGTACTAAGTAGCTTTTACTGAAATACTATATTGCATTTCAAAACTAGCTGAAGTGAAATAGTCCAAACACAAATTCCTTCTTGATATCAAGGAAGACCAGATTCCTTTTCAATATCAAATGCCACTGGAATCATCCTGCTATCGTGAAATCCCAGTGCAACTTTAGGAGCTCTACAAATTCCAGGTTTGGGCTGCTTTGATTTTGTACCATTCCAGATCTTCTGAAAATGTGGTGAAATAGGAGAAATCTTAGAAGTTCATGTAATTCTGTCATAGCTAAGCAATTTTGAAACGCATATTTTGCCAATTTCTTAATGTAAAACAAGCATTCTTGTTTCCCAAAGATATTTATTGCTTTCATGATATTTGTTTTTTTTACTCATTTTATTTTTGAAGTCTTCGTAATATTTGTTGATCTAGCGCATATCCACTACCAGAGATGTTGCATTCTTAATTTGAGTTGTTGATTTCCTTGTGACAGGAACCCAGCGCTTGCTTCTTATCCAAATTGTTCTCTATGTTGTACTGAGCTGGTACAACAGTGCATTTTCATTGTTATTGAATAGATATTTCATAATTTTTACGTAAATGTCTCCTAGTATCAGTTTTTTTCTTTCTTAGTTCATTTCATATGATATTTATTCAAGGATATTATTATTATTATTCTTCTGATCCTGATGTTCTTGATGAGCAATTATTGGTTGCATTGTTGCAAAGAAAGTAATTTTTTTTTTTGCGAGAACTGTTCTTTTAGTGTGGGCTCTCAAAATTATATCCAGGAACATGTATACAAGAGTTAAATACTGTTTTTGTTTGAATTTATTAAATTGGAAACTGCTATCAAAGAGTGTTAGATTAAGGAGATATTTTTCTAATATGTTTTATATGTTTTTTAGAGGATATCTGTCTGTCTCTTTATTATTTTGCTTTTCAGGTATTCTTATGTTTAGGCACTTAATTTTACTTGGTAATATACAGGAACTTGTCTTTTCCAACACTTGCTAGAGCAAAGTTTTCTGCCTCTTTCCCTCCTGTCCCCCTCTAAATTTGAGCTTCTGCATATTGTTTGCTTACTCGATTATCCATCCACCTGGTTTGATTTGCGCTTGCGCAAATCACTCTCATAGCATGGAAAAATTGGAAAAATTATTGCGTCCTCCCACCTGACGTAGAGATGCGTCCTCCCAGAGCTAAAATCGCTCTAAAAAATGAGAAATACCAAGCAAATACCGAGCAATACTAAACAATAACGAGGAATATCATAATGTGAAGACCAATACCGAGCTATACCGAGCAATACTGAGCAATACAAAAAAATGCCTAGTTTATCCTAGAGAAAACTCGGTATGTGCTTGGTATTCCTCAGTATTGCTCGGTATAGCTCGGTATAACTCGGTATTGATCTTCACATGATGATATTCCTCGTTATTACCAAATAATACCTAGTAATACCGAGCAAAAATCGAGTTTTTTGTTCCTCGTTATTACCAAATAATACCTAGCAATACCGAGCAAAAATCGAGTTTTTTAGCTATGGGAGGACGCATCTCTACGTCAGGTGGGAGGACGCAATAATTTTTCCATAGGATGATGAGGCTTGCTTGCCCTCTCTTGCGACTCCTGATTAAATCACTTGTAGATCATTCTCACAATCTGCTCTGTAGCTAGACGCATTTGCTTCAGCTTTTTCCTGCGGACATTTCCGCTAGAAAATCACCAAAATCCATTGGCAAATATATTTGCCGGAAGATTTTCTTCGTAATTTGGCATTGGAAGGAATTTCCGATTGAATATTTTCCGTAAAAAATGTTTCCCACGGATTTACGGTTAATTTTTGACGATTTTTAGCTCAAAATAAAATTGACAGTTTTGAAGGATTTACCTAGGATATTTTTCACCGGAATTTCTGGTAAAAAACCGGTGGAATATTTCGTCGTAATTTACGGTGCTGCTGGTAATTCCAGCAGAGATTTCTAGCAAAAATCAGTGGAATTTCAGCCGAAAATGCCAGCGAAAGATTCCTTTGAAAAGCTTATGATAAATTTGTCTTATCGTTATTTCTGACGGAAAATTTATCGGAAACTTATAGCACAAATAAAGACAACAACCTATGTCGATTTTGCAACAATGCAATAGAATAATCAAAACAGTTTAAATACAGGTTAAATATTCTAATATTTCAACATTGCATAAAAATATAAATCAAATAGGAATAATACTTTGCTTAAACTATTCTCAAACAGTACAATAGTTCTGCAATCACCAAACAGTTATTCAATAATTGTTCAGTTCTTTATACATTAAAAAACTAACATAATAATTGTTCAGATCTTTATACATTAAAAAGCTAACATTAAATTGACAGCTATAGACAACTTACTCTGAATTTGTACACTCATTCTACTCGGCATTTTAGGTTGCTTTCCACTAAGCTTTTTCCTGATTCTCTAAAGCTCCTATAATATCTCACTTTTGTTGTGTTTACATGTTCGATTGTGATTTTCTTGATACATCGTAAAGTCCTCTATTAGATAAGGTAGATTCAGATTTATCCCCTTAGGCAATTGTCGTCTCCAGACCTAGAAGGTACCCTTGGACGACACAACCCATTATTGTCGATAAGGAACCTTCTGTCAGGTTAGGTCGACTATCTCCTCTAACTAAGTAGACTAGGGACCATGATAACATGGGACGACGGAACCATGGGATATTGATCAGGTCCATCGTACATTCTCTCACCATCCGCTTTAAGTGCAAGATGGAAAAAATTTTAAGTTTTAAATATCAAACTTTCAAACATCCAAAACCCATCATACTACTACTATAAGTTGGATACCACGTATCTATGAATACGAAGTATTCAATGATGACTAGCCTAAATTAAAAGTTCTCTCTCGTTATCGGGAAGGGTAATTAACTATAGGGGCTTGCGCTCATAGGAAACGAGAACTCATATCATAAAGTCCTCGCAAAATGAGGGAAAAATATATTGGAAGTGTCTTATCTACAAACCTAATCGACCTTCCCAAAATTTACCCCAAAACTTAATCCATTAAAACTCCCCTGAAAAAGCAACAGGGGATGTTGGGGCTGAATTTTCGGAGCCCACAGTACAGCTGAAGTAAAAAAAAAATTAGAAAGAAAAATCAAGAGACTTAGGACTGATAGAGGAAGAGAATATGACTCAAGAATTTTTAGTTCTTTTTGTGAAGCTGATGATATTATTCATGAGGTAACTCCACCTTATTCACCTTTCTAATAGCATAGCTGAACAAAAAAATAGAACCTTAAAAGAAATGATGAATGTTATGCTCATTAGTTTAGGTGTTTCTGATTATTTATGGGGTGAAGCTATTTTATCTCCATGTCATTTATTAAATAGAATTATTTTTAAAAAATTCGGAAAGACACCCTTTGAATTTTGGGAGAATAGAATATCCAATCTAAAATATTTAAAAGTGTGGGGGTGTCTTACTAAGGTTGTTCTACCAGATCCTAAGAAAAAGAATTTGGGTTCAAGAATATGTGATTGTTTTTTCATAGGATATGCAGAAAATTGTACAGCCTATAGATTTATGGTTCTTAAGAGTGATGTTATAGAATCTAATACTATTATAGAATCTAAAAATGCAAATTTTTTTGAGAATATATTTCCTTTGAAATTATTTATAGACAAACCTAATTCAGTTGAACTTAATAATAGTGATACTCCTCTTTTAAAATAAGAAGTAAAAGAATAAGAAAAGAGAAAAAACCTTGGAGATGAGTTTTACATGTTCTTACTAGATAATGGCCCCTTAACTTATTCTAAAGTGATGTATGCATTAAATGCTAAATTTTGGTAGGAAGCCATTTAAGTTGAAATGGATTCTACGATGTCAAACCATAGTTGGTAGATAGTAGATTTACCTCCAGGAACTAAAACTATTGGATGTAAATGGATCTTTAGAAAAAAAGCTCAAGCCGGATAGATCAATTGAAAAATATAAAGCTAGGTTGGTGGCTAAAGGATATACTTAAAAGAAAGATCTTGATTATTTTGATGCTTATTCTCCTGTCGCTAGAATTGCTTTTATTAAAACTCTTATTGCTTTAGCTTCAATATTTAAATTACAAATTCATCAAATGGATGTGAAAACTGCCTTTTTAAATGGAAATTTAGAAGAGGAAATATTTATATGGATCAACCAAAAGGTTTCATAGTACCTGGAACTGAAAAGAAAGTTTGTAAGCTAATTAAGTCTTTATATGGAATAAAATAAGCTCCTAAAATGTGGCATGAGAAGCTTCTTAATACAATAATATCTAATGATTATAGGATTAATGAAGCTGATACATGTATTTATTATAAATTTGATAGTCCAAAATTAGGAGTAATTATTTGTATTTATGTAGATGATTTGCTAATTTTAGAATATGATCTTTCTAAAATTGCAGAAACTAAATCTTTTCTATCTTAAAAATTTGAGATGGAGGATTTAGGAGAAGTGGATGTAATATTAGGAATAAACATAAGAAAACAAATTGATGGAATCGCGAAAATGAGGAGAATAGGGTTTGACGGTTTGTAAACTTTGTATTTGTTTTGTTATAACTTATAAGCTCCCTATCTTTAAGCTATTGGATTAAATCGAACGAGAAGAATCGGCAACCAAGAGGACCAAGATTTTTTTTTTTTTGTAAGAAAGCATAAAAAATCCTGGGTATTATTCTTAGCAAACATAAATAATGCATTTGATGATTTTATAAGATTTATCAAGTATATTAAAAAAAAAAACCTTATTAAATTTATAGAATCCAAATAGCTTATGGTTAAGACTTCAAAAATAACTTATTTAAAAATTATTACGATGAAAATAAAATTAGGCTTAGCTTTTCGACCCTACGACTCCTAATAAAATGGTGTAATTGTACGAAAATAAATTGCATTTTATTAGTGTTAGCAAAATCAATGAATGCAAACTATCTAAGCATTTTTTGGCAGAACTAGTTAATAATGCATGTTATGTGACAATAAGTGTATTTTGGACCTATCTTGAAAAGAAAACTCTTATGAATTATTTTTTTGAAAAAAAAAAGATTAGTCACTTACATATTTTTAAACATAAAGATTTATTTTAAATAATAAAAAAATGTTAGATAACTTTGTTAGTAAATAGAATGATGGTATCTTTCTAGTATATT